CCCCGTTCCCGCGACGGCCGGCCTGCCCGTCCGCCTTCCAGGACGGCAGGATTGTATGGCATTGCCTGTATCGCGGGGTTAAAGTCCGAAACAGCCCGGCTTCTTGGCTTGACGGATCGCCTTTTTTTTTCTCCCCTCGCCTCGTTTTTGTAACTCGCCGTTTTAGAGGCAGCGTATACAGGTAAAACCCGGGAGGCACGCACGGGGCAAGGATCTCGGTTGCCCTGCCCCCTCCGCTCCGCTTTTTTTCCCGCCTTCCTGTTCGCTCGTCGGCCTTGAACGCGTGCTAAGAAGGAGTAGGGGCGTCCGGCCCTTTTTCTCGCCGCCGCCAGCGCCATGTTGAAACAACCCCTGCCGCCGCGCTCCCCTCAACCTGCTGCGCCTTCCTCTGGCCCCTCTCCTCCGACGCCGCCTACGGTCGCTACTGCCGCCGCCGCCGCCTGCAAAGCCAACCCACCCCTGGCCAACCCCAACGAGAACTTCAGCACCGGGGCCGCGAGCGGACCGAGAGCCACAATGGTGGCTTCCCCGGTCAGCGGAGGAGGAGCCCCCCCTGGAGGATGCGGCACCAGGTAAGGCTTGACCGAAGTGCGCTGGTTTGTGTGAGCGAGTGAAAGAAAGGGGTCCTGGCGGCAAAGACCGAAAGGGAAGGTACTGTTGGGTTCCCACTCAAAAAAAGTTGACGGGAGGACTCGGCGGGGGGAAATATGTGTAGACCCGATAAGCGGAGTTGAGCTGCTTTGCCACTGATTGGGTGCCGCTCTTCTCGGCGTACACCCTGCTGAGACCGGAAGGCGGATACCGCTAGACTCCCCCCCCCCCCCCCCCCTTAGACTCTTCCCCAGTCATCCATCTCTGGCGTGTGTGCTTTCTGAAGTGATGTGTGTGGCTCTAATGTCTTTTTTTTTTTGGGGGGGGGGGGGGGAGACCCACGATCCCTCCTGGGCTGACTTTCACTCCTTGTCGTGGAGTAGACTTTGACTGCTTAGGCAAGGATTAATTTCCGATGCCAATTGAGCATCAGAACGATGTTTTCTCGGAAGTAAATTCGGTTGACTTAATTGCACGCTAATGTACAATCCAATGTATTAATAGACATCAGGAAAACCGTGGATCCAACAGACATTCTTTCAGACATTGCAGCGTCTTGTGCTGTCTTGGTCTGCTTAATTAAAAGAACTTCCTTATACAGGTAGTCCTCAACTTACGACCACAATTGAGCCCCAAATTTATGTTGCTAAGTGACAAATTTGTTAAGTTAGCTTTGCCACATTTGTTAAGTGAATCACTGCAGTTGTTAACATGGTTAAGTGAATCTGGCTTCCCCATCGACTGCTTGTCAGAAGGTTGCAAAAGGTGATCACATGACCCTGGGACACTGCAACCATGATAAATGTGAGCTACTTGTCAAGCATCTGAATGTAAATCACATGACAATGGGGATGCTTCAACAGTCATAAGTGTGAAAAATGGTCATAAGGCACTTTTTTCAGTGCCATTATAACTTTGAACAGTCACTAAGCGAACATTGTAAGTTGAGGACTACCTGTATATATGAGCAGTGATGCCTTCCAGAAATGAGTTTTGCCCAGCGTACTGCTTAAAGGTGGTTGCTTTTCTGTTTTCTTTTTTTCATTTCATAGCCTAGCATAAATCTCTGGTTTAAGAAAGAGCGGGACTAAAAAACATTTGCTGAGCCATGCATCAATTTTATAAGGTTGAACAAGATCATGCTTTCTGTCTGTGTCTTGTGGTGTTCCCAGAGGTTGGGTATTTTTTGTGATTATTTTGTTATCACAGAGCGCAAAGCATAGCAATGAAGGAGCTCATCAGGATAGTTAATATAAGGAGCTCCTTTTGCTATTCTGATTGAATTATCACCTAGTTATCTCCCTCTTATTTTAAATTGGCTGGGAAATTTTGATGAATTGTGCAAAATGTTGTTCCAAATTTAGATAAAGTAATGTAGAAAGGTCAGAAATCATGGATTTGAGGCAAACCAAATCCATTCTAAGCTTCTTTTCATACACATAAAAATATTGGGTGCATCTGCCAGTAACACTTTGTTTCCATTGAAGCAATATCTGACAACTTTTTTGTCAGAAAGTTGTCTCAGTGGAGAGGAAGGTATGTCTTTCTTAGCTGAATTAGGAAATCTGTTTAATTGTTTTGGTAGTAAAGCATGGGGTAGTGGTGAGAACTGTGAATTGGATTCATAAGGAATGATGAATTTATGCACCAAATGTACCCTATTGGTTTAAAGAGTTTACATTTTGCATTATTACATTTGTGTCTCATTTATTTTCAGGGGCCAGAGTACAGGCAAAGGACCTCCACAATCTCCTGTAAGTTGTACTATAAACCATTTGGAATTGTCATATCTAATCTGTATGATTTGTGTAACTGCTAGAGATTTAAGGTTTCTACTACCAGTCTTTGCCAATAAATACACTGCTCAAAAAAATAAAGGGAACACAAAAATAAGACATCCTAGGTCTGAATGAATGAAATATTCTTATTAAAGACTTTGTTCATTGCATAGTCGAATGTGCTGACAACAAAATCACACAAAAATTATCAATGGAAATCAAATTTAGCAACCCATGGAGGTCTGGATTTGGAGTTACACTCAAAATTAAAGTGGAAAAAAACACTACAGGCTAATCCAACTTTGATGTAATGTCCTTCAAACAAGTCAAAATGAGGCTCAGTAGTGTGTGTGGCCTCCACGTGCCTGTATGACCTCCCTACAACACCTGGGCATGCTGATGAGGTGGCAGATGGTCTCCTGAGGGATCTCCTCCCACACCTGGACTAAAGCATCCCCCAACTCCTGGACAGTCTGTGGTGCAACGTGGTGTTGGTGGATGGAGCGAGACATGATGTCCCAGATGTGCTCAATTGGATTCCGGTCTGGGGAACGGGCGGGCCAGTCCATAGCATCAATGCCTTCGTCTTGCAGGAACTGCTGACACACTCCAGCCACATAAGGTCTAGCATTGTCTTGCTTTAGGAGGAACCCAGGGCCAACCACACCAGCATATGGTCTCACAAGGGGTCTGAGGATCTCATCTCAGTACTTAACGGCAGTCAGGCTACCTCTGGTGAGTACATGGAGGGCTGTGCGGCCCCCTAAAGAAATGCCATCCCACACCATTCCTGACCCACTGCCAAACCGGTCATGCTGGAGGATGTTGCAGGCAGCAGAACGTTCTCCACGGTGTCTCCAGACCCTGTCACATCTGTCACGTGCTCAGTGTGAACCTGCTTTCATCTGTGAAGAGCACAGGGCTCCAGTGGCGAATTTGCCAATCTTGGTGTTCTCTGGCAAATGCCAAACGTCCTGCACGGTGTTGGGCTGTAAGCACAACCCCCACCTGTGGACGTCGGGCCCTCATACCACCCTCATGGAGTCTGTTTCTGACCATTTGAGCAGCCACATTCACATTTGTGGCCCGCTGGAGGTCATTTTGCAGGGCTCTGGCAGTGCTCCTCCTGTCCCTCCTTGCACAAAGGTGGAGGTAGCAGTCCTGATGCTGGGTTGTTGCCCTCCTACGGCCTCCTCCACATCACCTGATGTACTGGCCTGTCTCCTGGTAGCGCCTCCATGCTCTGGACACTACGCTGACAGACACAGCAAACCACCTTGCCACAGCTCGCATTGATGTGCCATCCTGGATGAGCTGCACTACCTGAGCCACTTGTGTGGGTTGTAGACTCCGTCTCATGCTACCACTAGAGTGAAAGCGCCACCAGCATTCAAAAGTGACCAAACCATCAGCCAGAAAGCATAGGAACTGAGAAGTGGTCTGTGGTCACCGCCTGCAGAACCACTCCTTTATTGGGGATGTCTTGCTAACTGCCTCTGCTTTCCACCTGTTGTCTATTCCATTTGCACAACAGTATGTGAAACTGATTGTCAATCAGTGTTGCTACCTAAGTGGACAGTTTGATTTCACAGAAGTGTGATTGACTTGGAGTTACATTGTATTGTTTAAGTGTTCCCTTTATTTTTTTGAGCAGTGTATATCTGCTAGTAGGCTTCAGTTCTTATGGCTATAAATGTACCCCAACCTAAGATTTTTTTCAGTTATGACATGTGGTAAAAGACTCCCTAGAATCTTATGTATCTGCTAAAACTACAGTTAAAACAATTTCTGTGCCTTTGTGTTACTTTGTATTATATTTCTTTTATTTGCAATTCCTGTAACAGTAGCAAAGTATAAATAATATCTGGAGTAAAATCTCATGTCATAAATTTAGTTCAAATTTGTAACACTAAATTGCCTGTAGATTTTCAGCATAATGTCATTTCACTGTTGTTGAGGTGCAGCAAAGTCTGCTTATAATTATCTGTTTTTTTTCTAAATTTGCAACTTTGTTAAGATTAATGGAATGAAATAACTGAAAGGCACAATTTTTTTTTGAAAAAGAACAGTGTACTTTTCATATCAATCTGTATCATAAACCACATTATTTTGATTTATTTTGATTTATTTTGTGACATATACTTGAATGCTTCAATTTTAGATACTGAATTGTGAAAATCCCAATATAATGTTCATTTTCAACTATAGACTGACTATCCAAACTCTGAGAAGTAGTAATGCAGTATGAACCTTTGCCAAGCCTCCTATATACTAAGATTCATGAAGATCCTTACTGAGAAAACAAATGAAATAATATTTATTTAGGCCTATATTTGTTAAAACAGGTATATACATCATCTGGAATCTTTCAGTTGCCTACCTAATTATTGGGAGTGTTGTAACATTGGGCAATGGATGCTTAAAGATGTCTTGGTGACACTTATTTTTCCATTCCTCCCAGGTTTTTGAGGGTGTTTATAACAATTCCCGAATGCTGCACTTTCTAACAGCAGTTGTGGTGAGTCTCCTGGTGATAAGTTAAGAATGTAGGAAAGGAAAGAAACCTTAAATACAGGTGCATGTTTATAGGGTGGAAGGTACATGATGGGATTTCTTTCAATACTTTGATTTCATGTGGTTGTCATCCAAGAAGAATTGAGCATTTGTTTTATATAGGCATTGCTCACATGATACAATGATCCATGATTTTCAAATGGTAGACAATGCAAAAATTGCAAGGTTCTCAACCAAAGGAAGGTGGGATGCCTGCAAAGGCTGATAGTTTGCTGTTTCCCCTTCCGGGTCCCATGGCTATGTGTCTTAAGAATGGTTTATGCTAAGCATTTTGCAAATGAGTCAGGGTTTTCTCTTGAATTTCTTCAGTTTGCTTTATTTTAACAGCCTTCCAGATAAATTGATTATAGGTGTATGGGGGGGGGGGAATGCTTTGATTTGCAATTTGAAGTAGCCCTGTATCCTGTTTTAAAAGTATTCCTTCCCTTTTATTCTCTTCCCAGGGATCAACATGTGATGTGAAAGTGAAAAGTGGAAGCACATTTGAAGGAATTTTTAAGACCCTGAGTTCTAAGGTGAATATTTTCTTACAGACTAGTTTTCTTAGAATGTTAACTAACAGGTTCAATGAAATCTATTCCTTAATTGTACTTAAGTATTTAGCTTTACTTTATATTGGAACTTTGGATACAGGAAGCATCCTTTCTCCCCAAACTTCACAAAACTTGCTTAAGCAGCCTATGAGATGACAAGGGTGAATATCTGGAAATAGTGCCAATTGATTGTGATATGGCATGTTTTCAGATTTTATGTGGTTTTCTATAGTAGAAATAGGCATCCTGTATTAAGACTTTATTTTTTACAGTTTGAGCTGGCTGTGGATGCTGTGCACAAGAAGGTGCCCGATCAGCCAGTAGGGCCAAGGAGGGAAGATATTGTAGACACTATGGTTTTCAAGCCTGCTGATGTCATGTTAGTGCACTTCCGCAATGTTGATTTTAACTACGCCACCAAAGGTAATACAGCCTTAAAATAACAATTGAGATGGGATGGGAGGGAGGTTGTGAGGGAGAACTTGAATCCTTTCTATCTTGACCTTTCTGTCATATGTCTTAGATAAGTTCACAGATTCTGCCATTGCCATGAATTCTAAAGTGAACGGGGAACACAAAGAGAAAGTACTACAACGCTGGGAAGGGGGAGATAGCAACAGTGATGATTATGACTTAGAATCAGATATGGTGAGTAACTGATAAGGCTTGAGTCCTCAAAATAGATTTACTTAGAGCTGCTTTACTAAGCTTTGTTGCAGCAAAGGTGCTAAAGCATTTATCTGTGATTTCAGTCTAATGGCTGGGACCCAAATGAGATGTTCAAATTCAACGAGGAAAATTATGGTGTGAAGACAACGTATGATAGCAGTCTTTCATCATATACGTAAGTTAATGATTTAGCTGTGTGTGTGTGTGTAGGTTGGGGGGAGAGCAGTTGATGACAAGGATATCATTTGGTAGGCTGTTTGAGTCTAGGTTGTTTTTCTTTCTTTTTCACTTAATAAATCAGAGTTGGTTAACATACCAGGACTTGCAAGGCTTTGATTAGTTGGCAGAAATCAGTGGATAAAGAAGAGTAGACTGATTGTCAAGACAATTCAGAGGTAATCATCTCAACCCTTTGAATGTCAGTGTTTGTGAATAGTTTCAGCCTTTCTCTATCCTCAGTTCCACCTGTTTATTACAGGCTGTTGGTGGCTACTTCAGAAAATGAAATATTCGATAAAAACAGTGAATGTTCCATGATGAGACATGTCCATTGGAATATTACAGTATAATAACACTATCCTTGCATTATCTGCACTTGAGGGTGGACTCCAGGATTCAGTTTAGTTTAGGTGCTGGCCTAGAAACAGAGATTCTAGTCCTCTCTTGGAATGGAAACCAGTTGGATGACTTTGGAGCAGAAATACACTCTCACCCAATTCACCTCACAGGACTGTTATGGGCAAAATATAAGGAGAGCATTATGTACATCTTCAGTTGCACAAAATACAGGAGATATAAATCTAATAAATACTGAATGCAGTGAATATTAGGGCTCATGCAAGATGGTCACTTTGGACCACTAACCAATTCATTCAGTTGTACTTTATATAGTTAATATACAGCTTGTTTCACTACATTACAAGTTTTTGTTATGCTCCTAAATTCAACAGTATTCCGAAGTAGCAGAAGCCTGTACTTGATTTTTCCTTGCTTGCTTGTTTATTTATAAAATGTATTGGCTGCCCATCTTGCCCCAAGGTAACTCTGGGCAGCTTATAATTCATCAAAGATAAATATACATATACTAAAAACATAAATAAGTTAAACCAAATATGATCCACTTAAAGATGGGAGGGGGTAATATGAATATATGTGTGTGTGTGTTTGCATGCACACATACACATATATTCAATATGTACATGTGTCTACACAATTATTTCTTTTTGTACTAAGCACTGTTACATAAAACATAAGTAATGGACAAAAACATTAAAGCAGGAAATAAAAGAAAATGTAACTCTAAAATATAGTCACCATTCGATCTTCAAACCTTTCTGTGCTTGTAAGCCCCTCTTGCTTTCTTTGCCTCTGTACATCAATGTATATATTCCCTTTGTTTTTGAAATTTCTTCCCTCTGTTTTTTAGAGGATCAGAAATCCAGGGCATTACTTTCTCAGTCTTCCCCTACACCTATTCACTCTTACTTTATATATTTATTACTCATTCATTCTCTCTATATAGCTAAGCCACCTCAGTGTACTACTTTCGTACTGATTTCTAATTTTTGTATTAAGTCTGCTCGTTCATTCTTGACCCTGTCTTTTTTTGCTTTACTACATTCAAACATCTACATTCAAAGAGCCTTGGCACAGTAATTAGAATACAGTATTGCAGACTACAACTGCTGCCAGCTGTTCAGTTCTGACCGGCTCAAGGTTGACTCAGTCTTCCATCTTTCCAAGGTCACTAAAATGAGGACCCAGATTGTTGGGGGCAATATGCTGACTCTGTAAACTGCTTAGAGAGGGCTGTAAAGCACTATGAAGCAGTACATAAGTCTTAAGTGCTATTGCTATCTTTCAACAAACATTTATTCCTCTTAGCAGATGTAGTAGACTATATATTACCTATCTTTCTATCAGCATTTATAAATTTCAATGTTTTCCTATCTATGTCCCCTTCTTTAGGGATATACTCCTAAAGTGAATAGTTTTATCTCCTGGCTGTAATATTTTGCCGTTTATGTGTAACAGGCAGTGGTCATTCAGTTTTTCCTTTAGAGTCTCAGACTACAAAATGGCACTGTCTGCGATCAAAGTACATGTACGTCAGGGGTGGGATGCTACCGGTTCGGCCTGGTTCTATATAACCTGTAGCTGCTAAGAGCAGCTGACACCAAACCAGTTCGGTGTTTGGCCCACCCACCTGCCCGGGCTTTAGGCTGTCCTTTATTCCCTGCTTTTCCCTCCTCAGCTGCTTTGCACGGCACAGCTGAGGTTGAAAAAGCAGGAAACGAGGATTTTCAAACACTGCACACCCAAGCGCAGCACTTGTCAGCTGTCCAGGTTGCACAGCTGATGATTTCTTGCAAACATTGCACACACAATTGTCCGCAGTTCGGAGAACCAGCAAATCGCTCCACTGGCTGGCCCGGCCCCTCCCCGCCGACTCACTCCTTACCTGGCATGCGAGCCATCCAACTTGCCTGGTTTGGTAAGTTGCTATTTTTCCTTTTTTTCCCCCCAACCATCAGCTGTTCTGCCGGGAGATTTAGATTAGCTAGAAAGCAGGAAATTGTTGGATTTCTTGCTTTCTAGCTAATCTAAAAGCAGAGCTGAACCTTCCTTTAGGACTGAAGCTTTTCAGTGCAGACTCAGGTAGCCGATTGCAGATAGATACATCTCTAATCTGTGATTCTGTGAGCAATTCAATCTGCCTGCCTGCTTTTGGGTAAAAGTTGCTCTTTTTTATAAAAAAAAATCAATATTTACATCAATATTTATAATATTTACATACAAGCCATGCCCACCCAGTCACATGACCACCAAGCCATGCCCAGTCAGCAAGCCATGCCCACCCAGTCACATGACCACCAAGCCACACCCACAGAACCGGTTGTTAAGAAATTTGAATCCCACCCCTGATGTACGTTCATATCTCCAACCCTGGCTGATCATTTCAGTTTCACTTTTGACTATGTTATTCCCATTTAAAATTTTAAGTACTCTTTCCAAAATTCATTAACTTTGGTTTTATGTTGATATAGCACCAATTCATACTGTTTGACATATAAGTTCTTTTGTTCATAATTAAATCTACATCTTTACTTCATACACATATCCATCAACACCTCACAGAACCGGATCAGTTACATTATTTCCCCCCACTTTTTTTAGTTTCACAAATATAGTATACATAATTTTCTTCCGTTAGTTAATTTATTTTCCTCTTATATTCCAAATCAGAATCTTCATATTTCATTGTCAACAAATGACCTCATGTACCTGTTATGCCTTTCATCATTTAAAGCTTTCACATAACACCATTTTATTGAAAGAAGGAACAAATTGTGTTACCATCTGTTGTTTCTGTTAATGGTAAGAACTCTACTGGTCAATTTGGGCACATTTTGGCCAGTATGTCACCAATAACTGCAGTAGCATGTCCCCAACCAAATCCAATTTTACCCAAAATGCAATGTGTAAATTTACACAATAAGTAATAAGCATCCAGAAGTTTATTGGAATTCTGGATCTGAAATTTACAAACCCTAGGAAGTTCAATCAAAACCTTTGACCTTTTGGGATTTGAGATGTTACAAATTAAGAGGTATTAGTGCATCTACAATTAAACAAGTCTATTTTGTTGTTTTGAATAGATGAGTAGAATTTATTTGCTATATTTCCTTCCCCCCCCCCCCTTCCAATGGCCCTTTTTTCATGATAGAGTCCCTCTTGAAAAAGATAACACAGAGGCTTTTCGGCAGCGAGAGGCCAGAGCTGCACAGCTGGCACGAGAAATTGAGTCAAGCCCACAGTATAGACTGCGTATTGCGATGGAAAATGATGATGGGCGCACAGAAGAAGAGAAGCACAGTTCAGTACAAAGACAAGTGTCTGGAAGAGACAGCCCTAGTTTGGCTTCCAGGTAAGTTTGCAGCATTGGTGAAATGAATGCAAATATGTATTTAAATATATTAAAATAGCAATGATATCAATTACTGTATATACTCGAGCATAAGTCGACCCGAATATAAGCCGAGGCACCTAATTTTACACAAAAAAACTGGAAAAACTTATTGACTCGAGTATAAGCCGAGGGTGGGAAATGCAGCAGCTACTGGTAAATTTCAAAAATAAAAATAATTAATTTGGGAAACGATCTCACTATCTCACGTCGCCTCGGGAAGGGAAAGGCAAA